TGAGGCCTCTAGGAGCTGTGAAAGAAGACAGCACAAAAGACCAAGTAACATAAGTGGTAAGAAAACTATGTGTTATAATTATTACTGTGATTTTGGCATACTTCTTCATGTTTATGGCATTTGAGTTATTAGATATTCAGCTGTTTAGAACTTCCTTCAGGTTTTTTCTTAAGGTTTATTCTTTCATTCATTTGGTATGGAGCCTCACCATGCAGCTTGTGCCCCTAGTGACCCTTCTGCCTCAGCCTCCCCAGCACTGGGATTACAGGATATGCCACAACTCCCGCGGCTGGCACGGCGTGGGGCTGGCATGGCATGTGATACTGAGATTCGAATCCCAGTCCTCACATTTGCCAGGCAGGTGTGTAAGCCCGCTGAGCTACCCTCTGGGCCAGACTTCCAGTTCTTAAAGTAGGATTGTTTTGATGGAAGAGAGGAGAGGAAAAAAGGAGACGACCTTCAAGTTCCTTTCCCTTCGGCAGCACACCAGGAAGCCTGGGATGCTGCCATCCTGAAAAGCAGGCCAGAACCGTGTGCTCCTGAGATCGCTTGATAAGAACAGAGCAACTCGTAAACAATCTTTCTCATTAAATAACAAATCCAGGACATCTCAGATCCCATTCTGCCAGCCAGTGTCTTTAGCGCAAATGGAGATGGGAGGCGAGTCCATTTTTAATACAAGGTAACACTCTCAAGAAAAGCACATATACACTTAGGAATTCTTCCATCCAAGTTAACTTTTTCTTTGCTTTGGAATTTAATATGGTAAAAAAACAACATGGATTCTTCCTGTGGGTTCTGGCTTCAGATTTTCTTTGCTTATCATTAAAATGTTCTACTTCACTTTCCTTGACGTGTTTGAGGCCCTCAAACAGTATCAGTGAATTTTTGTTGCAATTAATTGTTTCAAATTTAGAATTATAATTAATTCTTCCTATGAAAAGAAAAATTAATGAAGAAAAACACTTATTGCCAACACTATCTCAATTATATTTGTTCATGCTATACTTAGAATTTTAGAGAATGTCAATTTTAAGGGAGAATATTTTAATTCAATATAATAAAATGGCCCATAAGTTATTGACAGTGTTTCACCAATGAAAAAAGTAAAAAAGAATTCTTTCTTCTTAGACATTTTTTTGAAGGCACTGGCCTTTTCATTTAGCTATATTAGATCAAAAGATACTGAAGCCTTCATATTTTGCAAAATAATATTTAATTTTTCAAATTTCAAAAGTAATAGATACAAAAAAGAAGAAAGGTAATCAATATCAAAATGAAACATTATTTAAAAGGACAATATCATTATTATATTATACATAATACCTACTTTTACTTGAAGAAATATATGACCCTCATAAATATTACTGTTATGTTCATGTACTATGAGCTTTATCTTTATGAAATTTTAGTAATATTTTACCTATTTTGTATTTATATATTATACATTATTATATCATATGATATATAATATGTTAATAACATATAAGCTCCTTATACATCATACAATATTATATTCTGTGAAACTCTGGGAGATGCTAGCTAGCTAGCTAGGTAAAGGAAACACTACAACTCTAGGAGAACAGTGAACATCTGAAAACAATTTTATCAAAAGGAAAACAAAATGGATAATAAGTAAGAGTCCACCTAATTTGAGATAACAAATTCAGTTCGAAGGAGAATTTGTTTTGCAAAAGGACAGTATTCAGTGTCAGAAAAAGTATAGTATAATCATGGGACAATAATCCTACATGGGTTACGGTCAATTTTATAGTAAGGACTTTAAAATTACTCGTTTTATTTTTATGCCAAATGTTTCTTGTAAGGCATGATCCGAAAAGGAAGATGAGGCTATTTTACAGAGATGATTCTGAGGAATTACTTATAATGGTAAATAACAGAAATAACAAAATGTATAGCATTAAGTGAAGTGAGAAATGGACAACGGAATAGTTGTATTATTTCTAAATTTGCTTGTATTTGTAAATAAAATGCATTACTCCAATGAGATATTCAATATTATCAGACATATTTCATTTATATAAAATGAAGCAACCATGAAAACTATTACAAACTTTCACTCCTGAAATTATGAAAGTGTTTGCTTATTTTTATCCTGCATTCTGGACTTTATGAAAAGAGAAAACATTCAGTGCAGAAGCCACAAAATCCTGTATTTTAGTGGAGAGGGAAATTAACTTCCTTGGTGGCGTCTACACCTGCAGCGCACAGCGAGCCTGCAGCCCTGGCTCGGGCACCGCAGCAGGCGCCCCGCTGCCGGCCGCAGCACACCCCTGGCGCCGGCGCCTTTCCATACCAAGATCCTGCATGGAGCACAGTTCCTCGCACTTTTGATTCCATTTAAGATTCATTTGCCTCTAATTCCTTTTGTCATTTTTAGGCAAATTGAAGCTCTGTGTTTCACATTTACGGCCAATTCCTTATTTCCCTCAATTTACTTGCGGCATTAGAAACCAGGCCTTAGAGCCATGGTTTCTTCTACCGTGTAAATTACGCAGAAAGAGAGAGAGAGAGAGAGAGAGAGAGAGAGAGAGAGAGAGAGAGAGAGAGAGAGTTTTATTCAAGGAGCTGAGCGACACCATAAAACAGACCTCCGAGGTGCAGTGTTGGTGTTGAGAACAGTCGTCAGGTTGAGCACGGAAGGCCAAGGGAGGAGGGCTACGGGAAGGAAGGAAGGGACTTTGCAGGGCGGTGGGGCTGCAGGTCACTTTTCAGAACAGTTATCTTAAGCGTCAAACACTGGGAAGACAAGCAGAATGAACTGGCTGGCCTGGTTGGGATCATTCCTATGCAGTCAGCTGACAGAGTTCCTAATCACCTTTTACCCACGTGGAGTTTTATATTTTAACAGACTGAGGCTTAAAACTTATTTTTCAAGTAGAAATTAGAGGTTATGTTTCCAACCTATGCCTTGCTGAGTTGGGCTGTGGGAGTTTCAGAGGACTGAGAGCTGTGAAATGATTCTCCAAGTTAGACACTGTCTTGGAGAAAGGTCAAACTAAGGGTGCTTCTATGAGAAAAGATCCAGTCGCTGGTGTAGCTCCTTCTCTTCTTTCCTGCAGAAGCTCAAATGGTTTTCAAACTGGGTCTGATAAGCGCGGGAAGGCCGCAGTCCTAGGACCTTAGCGGCTTCAGGGCCAGGTTTCCTGCTCTTATGTCGCCGTGGACAGTGGCTGGTGCTGTGCACATGTGTATGTCAGTGTTTCATCTACAAGGAGGGAACTGTAATTCAATATGTGGAAATCCTGGAATATCTTAGGAGTCAGACCACCTTGTAATGAAATGGAAAGAAATAGTTCAAGGAAGACCTGGCTTTGTGCGTTTCCTTCTGGTCTCTTGTTGCGGGAGGCATTCTAGTGTAACCTTCAAATAACGGTAAGAAAAATATCACCACTTACATATACTGAGCGCGCCTTCATCACCAGACCGTGTGATATCTTACGGGGCATGCACTACCTCACTTATTCCACAACACAAAGCTCTCGACTTTTGAAGTGTTCCACAGTTTGATCCACATCTATGTTTCTATCTAAGTCACTTTGTCAGAAATAGAGATGAGTTGCAGTTAAATAACGAAACTCAGAGCACTATTATTATACAAAGAAAATAATAAAGGGGACATGAAGTTTAGTGAGAGGAAAGTTACGAATTTTATAATAATGTATCAACTAATAGAAGTAATTATGAGCTATTATAATTATTACTTTGCATAAAGCGGTAACGAAGCAGAAGTTAGGACAGGCACGGGGGTTGGCAGCCACGGAGCGCTGGGCAGAGCTGAGGCTTCAGCGCGCACGCCCTGACTTCAGGCCACTCCTAGACGTCAGGGTGCTGTCCTTCTCTACCAGGTCAAACCGCAGTTTATATAAGAAACTGTGTGATGCTTTCATTGCTTGTACCAAAGACCCCACACCAGGCACTGGAACTGAGCCGCCGACTGCAAACCGAGGCAGCCACATCGCCTGAGTGGTAACCAGTGTGGCCTGGTGCCTGTGCGGTCCTGGAGGGAAGATGCTCTCTTCTCACTCCTTCACCAGACAGGTCCTGCCCTGGGGCCTCTGCAGGCACCAGCGAGATTCTCTTGCTTCATCAGGAGGCGGCGCGGCAAGCTTAGGGGGGGCACCATCCTGCACCAGGGAGCCTGCAGCTTGGTGCTGGCTGTGGTAGTCTTCGGCTGTACTAACGGCTACACATGTGCTCACCACCTCCTCACTTTGTGATTTAAAAGAAATGCCTAGAGAGCTTCCCCTGTCAAAAACAGAAGAAACTGGGGGGAAAGGTGGAACTAAAGAAGAAATCTACATTAATGAAGGAGAGCTGGGAGCTGAAGCACCCAGGAAAGTTAAAAAAAAAAAAAAAAACACCACCCAAATGATGGTTCCCATAGCAACTGCTACACGGTTGGATCTCACTTTTATGTTAAGTAAGTTTAACTTGAGTGGAAATGCAAAGCACTTCCTCTGAGCCAGAAAGATAATTATGGAGAATGCGGAGACAACAGTCCAGAATATTCTGGCTTCTGAGGATTTCAAATATTAACCCTCATGTATGACTAGCTTCACACTAATTGTGTGTGCTCCTTGGTATTGATTCTACACTATTTTATCTAATTGATAAAATGAAATGATTGAAAATAGGGAAACATTTTCCAATAAAATCTGTTAATTCAGAGACTACAACTTTGCAGTGTAGAAACACAGGGCCACATAACTGTTTGTAATTATAGGTGACTATTTGCTGAAAGTTCAATTTATGGAAATGCAATCTGATTGCATTCACAATCAAATGCTTTAAACCTGACATTTGCAGTTACCGTTAATGTCATCTGAAGCTGAGAAGCAGCACACAGGATGAAGAGAGGATCTGCACCTCCCGACAGGGGCCAAATGCACCTCTCTTTCAGTAATTTATATTCTAAACATCAATCTGTTTTTTTTTTTTTTTTTCAGTAAGTCAGAAAAGGCGGAAATCGTACTTACTCCTGTTATGTAACGAGGTCTATATTGAATAGTTCCAAATAAACCGAGAATGACGATAATAATATGCACAAAGTTGGCGAGGATCGGTGCCCACTGGTATCCGAGGAAGTCGAATATCTGCCTCTCCAGCACACAAGCCTAGAACAGCAAGACAGAGTCGACAGATCAGCACACACGAGCAACAGCGGCAGGGAGAGACCGAGGCTGAGGCTGACGTCGTAATTAGCCATTATGACTCTGCTAGGACACCTGGCATTGTCTTTAACAGTGAGAATGACATTTTCAGGTATATTTCAAAGGAAGACTGTCTGCGTGGATGCTCAGACAGTGACAGCCTTTCAGGGAGATTTTGTGGTGGCATCAGGAAGAATTCACACAATGTCATCTGAGTAGTCACTGGAGAAATTACTCTGTCAGGTGCACTGTCAATGCTTGAAGTCATCAGCCAGCATGTCAGGCAGGCGTGCAGCAAGGGCTTGTTGCTAGGGTCTGCACACACACACTCTACAAGTTGCGGAGAGCAAGGGTGCGGGGTGTAGAGAAATCTTAAGGACAGCGAGACCCCTGGGTTCTGGCCACATCTGCCACCGAGCAGCTGCGGTGGCCTCCTGAAAGCCTCTCCTTCTTGGGGTGCTGGTCGCTCCCTGCAAAATGCAGATCCTCCACCAGGACTAAGGAGCCCTTTGGTCCTCATCACGTCAGATTAACAATCAAATATGACATTTTTGTCATACACAGTTGCTTCTAGCCACTAATAGAAGGGTGATTTAAAGGAACTTAGAACAGCAGGATGAAAAAAGGTGTCAATCACTCTTACGAAAGCAAGACAGGTTGCCTCAATGTGTGCTACATCCACCTGTGTTCACATGTTTATAAGGAAAGACATCTAAAATCCAGGCAACAAAGAGATAACAAAAGGAACCACACAGCCATGGACCGCAGGGAAAATGAAGTCCAGGGACTTGGAAAGTCCTCTGTTCAATCTAAGGAACCAAAGTCCTTTGGTGGCCCCATTTCTGCTGCCTGCCTTTGGTGGAAAGTAATGAGGCGTGCAGAGATGACCACTGCAGAGGGATTGGGTGTTCTTTAGCAAAATCCAATATTACTTCCTCAGCTATATCTAAAAGACAAATGTTTGAAGATGCCTCAGTTACCAACATCACCGTGATTCTATAGCTCTTGTTAGAAGGAAGTACTCAGCCCCCGGATGAGCAATGGACTTTCATACTCAGTGCCTCTAGCTCAGTTTGAAGACTCTCGGAATGACCATTATTTGCATTGCAGTTTGTGGATGAGCAGCATATTCCACCAGGCAGGGGAAGAGAGATCGAATTCACCCCAAGTGTCTGCCCAGCACTTGTGTTTCCCAAAGCGCTGTCCACCGTGTGCGGTGGGGGCAGTCGCCTCCCACCAGCTGGATCTTTATTTTTACTGCTTCTTGGTAGTGATTGACTAAAGTATATGAGAGGAACTTCAGTTAACTGTCAATCACACCATCAAATCCATGATAGTCACCAAAGCCTGAACAAGTTTCTGAGAGGTTAATTGCCACAAACTGTCCAGAACTTGAACTTAAATCCATTTTTATAAACCTCATGAACTTTGAACTGCCTTCACAAAACTGAAATTTTATTTCTACCATTTTATGCAATCAACACTTTGCATAACGGAGGCTTCTGTGGGACATGTCTATGTTGAGATCTGTGGGTGGTAGCACAACTTACGTGGGGGTCCTGAGAGCTTTGCCCCTGAGCATTCATATGGGGACAGAGAAGAGACAGAAAACAAGGATGTGAAATAACAGCAAGAGAAACACAAACTCTATAAATTTTGAGCACCATAACCATGAGGAATCAGCAGGGAAAAAGTGCAGTGGATGAAGCGCATCAGTCAAGCCATGGGGGATTTCTCAATAAATGCTCCAATTATGGAAGAAAAGAGCCATATCATCATTAATTATAAAAAATACATCAATGATAATGTACACACTGAGTTTGCAAAGCTAAAACGAAATTCTATCAACATTAGTCAGAGTTTTTATGAGAGCATTAATAGTTTCTTATAAGACAAAGTTCATTTATAATTCTTCACATATTGCATATGATTTTATTGGTCCTGTAATATAGAGCTCAAACTCAGAGTGCAGAGAGCTAGGCCTGAAGAACAGAGGATGCTTTGAAAACATCAGCAAATACAAAGGGATTAAGTATTCACAGGAGTGCTGCTGCATTTTCTAAGACTCTTTCCATGGGGCCAGGGAGATGGCTCAGTAGAATAAGCACTTGCTTGGCAAGCACAAGGTCCTGAGTTCAATCACAGGTACCGCAAAAAAAAAAAAAAAAGACCCTTTCCATGGTGGGGGTGGGGGAGTCATTCTTCGATTGAGAAAAGAATATTTGTCAAATGTCTACTCCTTTCTGGGCACTTATATAATCTTCCCCAGGCATTTGAAAAAAAAAAAAAAAACAGGGGAGTTAAATATCATTGCCTTATTTTAAAAATTGAAGAAATAAAATATAAAATGGCTAAGCGATTGTCCTAGGGTTAGGAGAAAATGGTGAGTGCTGCACTAGGAATCTAGACTCAGTCCCAGGTGTTCACTCTCCCTAGGCAGCCACGGACAGGCGACGGTGCCAGAAGCTTCGCCCTGACTGCCTACACCACGGTCTCCACCCAAGATCTAGTCCCAAATGTGGAAATGTGGGCCTCATGGGTGTGTTGGGTGGACAAGGCATGCGTGCGTGCGTGCGTGCGTGTGCATGTGTGCGTGTGTGTGTGTGTGTGTGTGTGTGTGTATACATATATATATGAATAGTACAGAGAATCTCTGACCGGTTCACTACATTCTATCACTTTGGTCAAGGCAATCCTCCAGAGTTTTATTTATTTTAGTTTTTGCCTCCTTTAAATTCTGCACTCTGTGGTATTCTGGCTTTGCCTACAGGGCTTTCTTTAGTATATGTGCCTGCTGTCCTTCAAGTCACTTGTTGCACAAGTGCAGGTTTAGCCTGGAAAAACATACACAATTTTTTATGTCTATTTTATTTCCATACAAAAACTCTTATGGTATACACCATTTACATTCATACTTCATTAAATATATATTTTGATTCCTTTTGTTCATATCTGACAGATTAGCTTTATAATGTATAACATATTGCTTGTAATTCTCTGCTACCACAATAATTGTGTACCTCTTGAGCACTATTTGCTACAATGTTTTATTTTTAACAGTAATATTTCTAAACTATGTTAATTTTTTCTACTGTATTTCAACTTACTGAAATGTTAAGAATATATTTTTGTGGTTCTAATTAGAAGTAGCCTCGTAAGACTACATGGGATATTTATAATGAAGCTCGACATTTATCTCTGGATTTAAAAACTTTAAACAATCTTGTACTAAATCATTCTGCTTTCCCCTGAATGGTAGACTTTGTTCAGTTATACAAATCAGTAAGATCATATTTATAACAAGAACTGTTCCAATGAAAACGTTGTGCTGTAATATGGGACAGTGTAAATGTTTTTGATGATTTCTATCAATGTAAAATGAAATTTAATACTGAAAAAAGAAATAGGAGTTAATCTTTACCAATTACTATTTCTGTTTTTCTTTTTTATTTTTAGGAACAGAGGTTAAGAGCATAATATATTTTATTTATTTATTTATTTATTTATTTGGCAGAATTGGGGATTGAACTCAGGCCCTTGCGCTTGCCAGGCAAGCACTTATTCTACTGAGTGATCTCCCTGGCCCTCAAAATATATTTATTGGGGGAAAGAAAGCTTCTGTGTAAGAGAGGGACAGAAGGGGGGCCCAAGCGGGTGATCCCCGTAATTACTATTTCTTTACCTACTGGTATAACCAAAGTGTTTGTTGATATCTTGTTATCATTTTTTATAATTTTATTCATCTTAATGAGAAAAAAGATAAAATAGTGATGAAACAGTTTCAAAATAGGTTAGTGGGACAGTTACAATAATTAATACATTGCATATTGTTGTCTTCATAGTACTCAGAGGACAAGATGCAGACATGACATGCTGTCTAAACAATATTAGTATAAGCTTTTATTCCTATGAACTAAGAGAAAGTAGCTGTGTATCCACCCTAACTCTCTTGTGCATGCATATATCTATTTTTTTTCCTTCCCTTCTTTTATTTCCACAACAAAACTGTCCTGAGGGGATTTGACTGACCTTATCAGATACAAAAGTTACATTTCTTGTTCTACAGGTATTTTTTTTTTGTTCTATAGGTCTTGCTTTATCTTGGTCTTAACCATCCAGCAGAAAAGTATAACCACGAGGTATAAAAAGTAATGCCATATTAATATGCTGAGCTGTAAAAGGCTCACAACAACTTCTGACTTTGCCCAGCTCTGCTGATAACCCACTATTATTATGGACCACTGGACTATATTGGATTATTTTACTGAATTCAAGTACCTACAGTCTTTAGACTGGTTTCAAGTATGAAAAAGTTCTTTAAACACTGCTCCGAATGCAGCTGCTCTAAGTGCAGTGGCACATCATCTCGGAAAAAACAAAATGAAAAAGGGGGATATGGTGGGAGCCACGAAGCTCGGAAATCGATCAAATCTATGTAGGTGGGACTTGGCTCAGTTCCTAAAGCAAACAAGCTACCTCACTCCTGAGATGACCATCCTGTCTGATTAAGGTTTGTTATCATTTTTTTTTTTTTTTTTTTTTTTTTTTTTGCGGAACCGGGGATTGAACTCAGATCCTTGCATTTGCCAGTCAAGCGCTTATCCTACTGAGCCATCTCCCCGGCCCCCTGTTATCATTTTTATATCTCATAAATTAGTATATTTTCAGGTTCTATTGAATTTTATTTATAATATTTAAGGAAGAGAATTTTAGTGAGGTTTTTGTGTCTACAAATTACCTTATGACAAAATTTCTTATTGTCTTTCTCTGACACTGTTACAACGGTTATGCTCACCTCAAAACAGAGTGTGGCTGGCAGCAATTTTGTGCAATACCTTAGCAAGCTTCAAAGGAGCCTGTGGCTCCCCGTCTTTCCCCAGGGGCAGCCTGTGGCAGCCCGGATTGTCTCTGATGACTGCAGTGCCTTTCGTAGAGTTTTACATGTGCGTGCTGGGGAGAAGCAT